AAATTTTTTTAAGTTTAAAAAAGGCATTTTGAGTATTAAATTAACCAAGTATCTTTGGTTTTCCCTGAGCCAAGTTTACTTATGGGCTGCTATATTGTTTCCTGGCATATAATTCAAGACTGATTACAAAACAGAATGAGATTTCACTCCTGTGTCCTAGAGAAACTCATTAGAAACTACATGTTTGGCTTTTTCATGTCTCAAAAATCCCAAGATATTTCAACCTAACAAGATAAGTATTAACTTTTTGTCATTGGTAATTGAGCTATCTTGCTTTGAACAGAAAATATAGCATTAGTATTCTAATGTTTAACAGGAGTTTCCATTAAAAGTTATTTATATTGAAAATTGACTTTTTTCACAATCCAATTATACTATTAATGAGAGTTGCATTTATTTTATTCTTTTTCTCTTTAAAATGCATTGCAAGAATTAATTTATCAGCCTCCTAAAGGTAATTAATGGTGCTTTATTTTCGTAAAGTGCCCAAATATTCATAACAACCTTGTGGCATAGACATTATCTTCATTTTACAGATGAGACTACCAAAATTCAGAAAGTTTCCATTACAAAACTAAACCAAGATGTGACTGAGGATCTTTGACCCCCAATCCAGTGGCCTTTGCATCATGGATGACTCATTCACACTAGTTGAGACCTCAAATAAAATTGTAGTTCTTCTCTATGTCACAGTGGACTTGAGGGTGCTTCGGAGGGTGTAAGTTACCGCCCTAAGTAGAAGAGGCAGTATTAAGCCAGTCCTGCGAACAAAAGGCTGGAGAAATGAGGCCTCACATAGAGAGAAACCCCCAATGGCTGTACTTGAGGCATCTCAGACATAAAGAAGCTGGTCTAGAAGTAGCAGCTTATTCCACAGAGCATAACCTCAATGGTAATAACTGGGCTCATCATAGAGAGAGAGTCTGTAGGTTGAGTATTGAAGCCTTTGAAAATGAAAGATCCTCAGTGGCAGCAGGAAAAATATTGACCTCATATTCACTCAGGTTTAATAATGAATGTTTACCAGATGACAGGTGCATTGCAGTATTCGCCTAAATTTTGGGCTACTTCCTCAGCAGCCTTCACATTCTCAGTTTTTTTGTTTGTTTGTTTGTTTTGTTATTTTCTTCTTTTTCGTGCCTGACAATCTTGGGTAGAGTTCAGTCAGGAGTTCGCTTTATAGGTTCACTCACCCCCTACATGCAATGTCTCCCAAGTATTATCCCTAAGCGTAGCTATTACCCTTTAGTCCTGCAATTCTTTGTGCAATGGACCCGACCTGTTACTACCCACAATGGGACATGTTTCAGGATTTTTTCCACAAAATTACACATCCACCTGGGGAGGATCACCCTCCCCAGGAAGACAGCAATGGGATCTGGAAGTCTTGAAAGAGGAGACATAGAAAAGATTGGAAGTCGATCAGGAAGCTGACAAAAGCATAGCGATGAGACTGAATGGGGAGCAGTAAAGAAGCTGACCTGAAGGGTATAGAGGCTGATGCTGATGAGTAATAAGAAGAAAAGAAGCTAACTACCCAAGCTGGGAACTCAGAAAGGGCCTGGGCTTTCCAGAGGAAAAGTGGATTTGATCCAGTGAATAACCAAAAAGATGAAAGACAAAGGAACGTGTACTAGGAAGATTAATCAGACTGTATAGGCCATAGAAAATGAACAGGGAAACACACTCAAATGTTAAGAATTAAGGGAAATATTAAGTGCCTTGACAAGACAAGGCAAGAAGAGATTAAGAGGAGTTTACAGACCATGGTGATGAAAAGAAAAAAGACAGTAGAGAATGATGTTAAGTTTTGTGTATTATTAACGCCACTGTAAAAAATACAGATGTGCAATTTATACAGACCCATTGAATGGGAATTTCTGAGGGTGGTAGTGGGTGTGTGTTTTCTAAGGCCCCACAAGCTCACCATAGGGAACCAGTAGCCTACAGAGCAAAGCAGATTCTAGACTCACTACCTTTCAGTCAGCCTTCTCGGACTTTTGAGCCAGTCAGTAGATTTAGCACAGTGCTGAGAGATGCGATACACACAGAAGAAGGGAGCAGCCAACACTTACAAATAATGGCCTAACTGATTCTGACCAAAAGAATAAGAATTCAGTGGAGGAGGGAGATGACTGTGGGCTGGAGCATCCGCTGGACAGGACATCTAGAGGAACTGAGACATAGTCCAGAGCTTCCAGGGTGAACTGTAGCCCAAAACAGGTGGACCAGTGAGCTGATGAAAGTGGACAAAGCATCCTGCAGTATAGCTCTGAGCAACATTGTGGGTGCTACATTTAGAGAGCAGAGAAAGCCAGGTGGCTTCCCAGCCTCCCTCCTGTCGCTCCTCTGTACAGGGCTAGTGAGCCCCGTTAAGGCCATGGGGCAAGCACATTTTACCTTTTCTTTTCCCATCTCTCCCATTTGGATCTGGCCCCCTTTAACTATGTAATAGCTTTTGTTTCTCACTTTGAGAATATACATTAAATTCATTCACACTAAGATAAAAATGACACATAATCCCTGATGTTATTCTGGCATATTAATAAACCTTTGTGCAGTGAAGTTACTTATAGAAACCTTATTTCATTCTCATACAGTCCTAAGGAGTGGGGAGGTCAGAGACTATCCCCATTTTACAGATAAGGAAAGAAAGGCCCAGAGAATCTAAGTGGCTACCTCAAGAGCACAGAGCTACTAAATGGAGGCTTTGACTGGTGGATTTGGGCAGTTTTCACTCTGCCACTGTGTTCTGCATCTTGCTTCAGTATTTTCATTTCAACAGGGATCAGAGACCTGTGCTAAAGTCATGTATCTCTAACTATGGACTTCAGACACCAACCTAGAGATTGGAGAAGGATTCTTCCTGCGAAGCCCTGAATCACCGTATACAAGTTGTGTCTTATGCCTTCACATTATCTACTAGTTGTGTGAACACAGGCAGGTTAGAGAAAATGATCTGAGCTTCACTTTACCTGTCTGTGAAACGAAAATAACTATATCTGCTTCATAGGGTTTTTCTGAGAATTTCTTAAAACACCACCTGGACCATGTCTTTGCCACATAGTGGGCCTCAGTTAACCTCATTTTCTCTTTCCCTTCTCTTCCCCATTATACCTCCACACAAGCAAGTCATGCCAAGTCAGAACAACAGGCTCCACCAGACCCTGAAAACACCTTAGTGCCTCTCCTTGCTTTTGTTTTTAGCTCTCTCTCTCCCCTCTGTCCCTGTGTTTAGCCAGACCAGCCTCCCTTTGCTTCCCAAATGAACCAAGTACTAGGTAAACGCCGGCTCCTCTGCCTGAGTCCCACTCAGCCCTACTCCGGCTGCCCTTGTTCTTCATGCCCCAGGTGTCACTGCTTCAGGAAGGACTGGAGTGGGCTCCTCCTGGGATTCTTTCTCACTGCATCCTGTCATTCTCATTGTTATTACAGGCTAAGTACATGTAGAGTCTATGCTTACAGGTTTAATATCTGTTTTCTCCACTAGACTACAGAGCCCCATGTTGGCTGCTATGCTCACAGTACTCAGTACAGAATCTAACATGTTCCATAAATATTTTTGGCTGTATATTAGATGAATGCTACTCTTATCTCTCCCCTTTGGGATGTCCCCCTACAGCCCCCTCGCCAAACTGTGCACTATATTACACACACACACACACACACACACACACACACTCCCATGGAGACTATGTCCCTGACCATTTTCTTCATTTTCTTTCCCTAACATTTATTCATACATGATCATGAATTAGGTTGCATCCTCTGGTTGTTTCACGCTCCCCTAATCACATTATTAGTTTTTCAAGGGCTAAAAGTCCTTCAAGATCTTTTTCAGAATCCCCCATAAACCTAGTAGAATAGCTGGAAATGCTATTGGTACTTAGTAATTTCTTGATGAATGAATGGATAGATCAACTAGTCAATCCTAGTACATCCCTTCTGCACAGAGAAAATCTTCAGGTAACAAATATGGAGATATCATTGCAGCAAAACAATTTCTAACCACAACTCATTGCTGTAGTCCCTCCTCTTGGGTTACTATATTGAGTTTCAATAAGAGAAAACAATCTTATCTTGAAAGGGGGATTAGATTTATTTTTAATAAGAAAGGCTGAATTGGAAGCTTGCATTTCCCCCCCAAATTTAATAATAGCGCTAGCACAGCCTTACACTTTCAGCCTTATTTTGTATGAGTACAATGCTTCCAGGTAGGTAAGCTTCTGTCGTGATGTAAGAGCAAGACCTGTCTCACCACACCCACCCAAGGGAGGGGTCACAGCAAGGGCGGCTGTCTAGTTTGAGCATGTTTGCAGAATCAGTGGGTCCTATTCAGAACTGGGCAAAGAATTTGAAGGGAGACATCAGGTTACTTGAAGCTACTGTCTTTAAACATTGAGGTCCTGATAGTTACCACTGATGACCTTGATAAGTAAAGAAGTCACTTTGATCTTGCCTTCTTCTTTCATTCACAACTAGAACAAAACAAAAAGCATGTAAAATGTTATGCCCAAAATGATAACTTACTAAACTGGCTTTTCCATTTCTGCATTTGTCCTGTTATTCTGAAGCAGAAACTTCAGTGTACTGCTTTCCCTGCTAGTCAACCTCAGCTTGCTTTGTTGCTCATTTTTATCAGCATTTTTGAATGATTAATCACCACAACGAATATATACATATATGGGCACAAATACATATTTAATATATGTTATAATATATGCATTTTAATTTACTTTGATGATTGCCTAGCATGTTCTGTCTAGTCAATATCTTCCCCCAGGTCAACATTTGATCTTATAACACAGGCCAGGAAAAGGAAACCAAGTTTTGTTAAATACCCATTATACCATGAACCCTGTCAAGGTTGGTATGAGGTCTGTTCTTCATGTGACATCACTTAAATCACCTGTATTCCCACCCCTGCTTGGCTTTGTGATGATTCAAAGAGCCTGTAAGAGATGACTGTTGATGAATCCCCTTCTATCCCCATGTCACAGGCTGCAGAAGTCTTGAAGGTTGATGGAGGGCCATGCTATTCAAACAGCAGGTGTGGCTGAGACAGAAGCTCCTGGTGCTGGGAAGCCTTGCTGTTGGGAGTCTCCTGTATCTAGTCGCCAGAGTTGGGAGCTTGGATAGGTAGGTGATTAAACACATACTTATGTCCATGTGACTTTAAGTGTTTCTTGACTTAAACTTCCTTAGGACATAATTTTACATCTATCCCTTTGTTTTCCACCTTCAAAATTCCCAAGAAACATGCTTTTCTACAGTATTAATTTTGATTTATTGAGCCTTTAAAACAAAGATCCAAGTTGCTCAAACCACGGTGTTCATTGGAATCCATTTGTATTCTGTGTGTCTAGATTTATTTTCAGAGAAGGGATAAATCCATGTACAGAACAAAGGTCATATTCTAGAGCTCACTGTAGTCTGAGTGCATCTGGTGGTTTATCTCTAGCCATAGTAAAATAGTGATGATATATTTAGGTATTTTCATTTTGAAATTTATGACTGAGCCATTAATGTGCTAGCAGAAGAGTTAAAATTATGTTTGAGCCTATAAAGAAGCTCATCAAGTTCGGAATCCATAGCCCTGGAAAGATGGCTGCAGGCTTGGGGAGTTTTAGCTGTGTTAATTAGCCCTGGTTTCCAGGAGCTGAATGTACCAAACAAGGATGCTGTCACTCAGAGTACCTGCCCAGAAACCAATGGAAAATCCATGGAGAGGAAACTTACAGAGCCAGGGGTTGGCTCTAAATAAGCAAACAGTTGAGAGGTGCTAGACAGGCAGAAGTCCCAGCAATATCATCTGGCTTCACACTGACGCCTCTGGGCTGTCCTACATCCAGTGTGATTGTGAAGGACAGAGAATTGAATTTCTGAAATGTGAAGCTTTCTCCTTTGCTCTTTAATTCTCACACTGGAAAGACTGGAGTATGTTCTCCATGCACTCAATTCCCATTTTCCGTGAAAATGAAAATATTTTCCTTATGGTTTTCCTTTTCTAATCTATATGTCTTACCACTCAGATACTTAAAAAGTAATGTAACAGTGGTCTTTATTTTGCTTCTGCCAGTGTCAATTTTGACTGGTAAAGCAAACCCCTTTGATGCTTTTCCATTCAGAAATGCAGAGTAAACTTCCATTACTAGTTGCTAATTATGGGAAAAGGTATAATCCAGTAGTTTCCTAAATGTAGTGTTTAGTTATTATTGAAACACCTTGAGATGGTACCATTGTCCTGTGGCCATAAAGGAACTTTTATATCAAATTCTTCCCAATGCCTTTAGTTAGCTTCCAATCATTTACTTTTTACTGAGTAAATGATCTAATGATCATTAGCACATTAGTCATATAGTTGATTCTTTTCATTTTTCATTCTACAGTCTCAATTTTAATAGTTTTATAAGGAATTGGATTGCTTTTTGGGCTTTCTCAAATGTTCTCAATTGGGAGTTTGAGCGGATTATATCTGACATTGACATATGCTGACTCTTAGGCTTATCTTTCAGTAACTCTGGATGAGAGGCTGAGCTCAGTTACTATTACTGCCCCTTCCATTTCTAAGAGTCCATATTTTTTAGCCTGAGGCCCCATGTGCAGAATCTACTCATCAAGAAGTTTCTCCTATGTTGAGCTCAGGAGTCCAACAAGCAATTGTTCTGCAGGCTATGAGTTCCCAAGGTAGCAGGTACAAAGAGGACAGAAGGAAAGTGGCCCTTTCTAGAGGTAGGGAAATTCCTTTCCAGCTAAAACAGAGCAGAGACTGTCTGTTTCAACCTCTCTTACCCAGGGACTCAATTTCTAAAGAAACTTAAGTCCTACAGAAAAGGATGTGACTATTTCCTCAATTCTTTCAAGGACAACAGACACTAGCATCATTCATTCTAGATGCATGGGAGAGAAGTCTACCCATTCTATTCAATGGATGTCTTAGGGAATTAGGGCTTATTTCTCAACCAAGAATAGCTAAAAGATGAATCTGATATCCCAATCAATGTTACCTCTAAAAATATCTTTGAGTATATATGTGTTGTTACTTTTATATTTTTCATTTAGAACTCCAGCATTAATCTTGTTAACAAATTTATAAAAACAAAGTTTGTTTCTCCAAAATATTAACTATGGTAAGCCTTTCTTTGTAGTATTCCATATTTTCCTGTTTTCCACAATGAGCATGAGTTGTGTTTAAAATTATTTTTTAAATAAAAACACCACAAAAAAAGTAAAATATGTTTCTATTCCTCCTTGAGCATTAGGACAGACAGCTGTTGAAACAGTACAGGCCAAGCCCTTTCTCCTCAGTTCTGCAGAATGCCTTGGCATGACCCTGAGGTTTTGGTCTTCTCCCTTTAATTATAAACATTACAGAAAATAAGAAAAATAGAGTCTCTCGGAAAAAGCAACAGAGAGCCTCATTGCCACAGAGAGGGGGGCATAGATGCCAAATTAATAGGATAACTAGAAGCTTCAGTTGAAAATATTAGCCATTTTGACTAATATTCTACCCTTTACCAAGGTGGCTAAAATGCCTTTTCAAGTAAACTTAGGGAAATTATCATGAATTTCAGTTCCGTTCCAGACTATACCCAAAAGGGAACTCAACGCACTAGCCATATATATTAGCCACGTCAAATTAGACAGCCACTCTAGTGCAACAGCATCGTGGTTATCACCACACCCTTTTCTCTGAGAAGAGCGGCGATGCTTGTTCATTACAGAAGGCAGTGTTGAAGCGGAAATCCTCCTTTTGGGCCCCATCTATTGCATCCCTTCCTTCTTGAGCTTGAGACCCTGTTTTAAATGGATCTGGCAATGAGGACCTCAGGTTTCTGGCCCTGCCGAGGTCTTGTTGATTTCTCGTCCCAGGTGTGGCAAGTGATGTGCAGCACTTGCTGGTGGCATCAGGTTTATTCCTACATTCATCTGAGTGAAAACATAATCCTGACCTATTTAGATAGAAAGAAAAAGAGAGGCCAAAGAAATATAGTCCTCTTCTAGCTGTCCCCAAGGCCAAGGGCAGAAATTCTCATAGAAGCAAAAGCTCAGCAAGTGCCCGTTTGGAATTTTTCAGGTTGATGATGCAAATAGCCAAGGGCAGAGACTGGGACCTCTTTTCAGATTATATCTCTAAGATTTTTAAGAGCCATGTGAGTGCTACTGAGCTATAAGAAAATAATATCACACGAAACCCAAAAGACTGGCCTCCTCGCGGTTCTTCAGTCTCCAAGCTAAAGATTAGAATCTTCCACCTTTCACATTCTCTAAATAATGTTAACTAGTGAGCTGTTAAAAGGCTATTAGTATGGCTGGTGTCACTTGTCTGTCCTGTACTGTGTGAACATAAGTACACGCTGTAGTCAATTAAGTGCTTGGTGACTAAAAATTTTAAAGGAGCGCTAATAAAAAATCCCATCAATTATGTGTGCTCCATTTAATATAGTGTTGCTTAAAATAAAATTTCTCAAACATATGTTCACTATGGACTGCATCAGGCTGGGAAACAGTGGTTTTATTTATGCATTTCAAGTGCGACTCTGACTGGGGAACCAGAAAAATGAGAAGTTAGTTGCAATGAGCTTCTTAAAGCCTCTCTCTGTTGCTTGCAGGCTGCAACCCATCTGCCCCATTGAAGGCCGATTTGGAGCCCGTGGGCAGGCTGAATTCCCTCTCCGTGCCCTGCAGTTTAAGCGGGGCCTGCTGCACGAGTTTCGGAAAGGCAACGCTTCCAAGGACCAGGTTCGCCTTCATGACCTGGTCCAGCAACTCCCCAAGGCCATTATCATTGGGGTTAGAAAAGGAGGCACGAGGGCCCTACTTGAGATGCTGAACCTCCATCCAGCTGTGGTCAAAGCTTCTCAAGAAATCCACTTTTTTGACAATGATGAGAATTATGCCAAGGGCATTGAGTGGTATAGAAAAAAGATGCCTTTTTCCTACCCTCAGCAAATCACAATTGAAAAGAGCCCGGCATATTTCATCACGGAGGAGGTTCCGGAAAGGATTTACAAAATGAACTCATCCATCAAGTTGCTGATCATTGTCAGGGAGCCAACCACAAGAGCTATTTCTGATTACACTCAGGTGCTAGAGGGGAAGGAGAGGAAGAATAAAACTTATTACAAGTTTGAGAAGCTGGCAATAGACCCTAATACCTGTGAAGTGAACACAAAATACAAGGCGGTAAGAACCAGCATCTACACCAAACATTTGGAACGGTGGTTGAAATATTTTCCGATCGAGCAGTTTCACATTGTGGATGGAGATCGCCTCATCACAGAACCTCTGCCAGAACTTCAGCTCGTGGAGAAGTTCCTAAATCTTCCCCCAAGAATAAGCCAATACAATCTGTATTTCAATGCTACCAGAGGGTTCTACTGCTTGCGATTTAACATTATCTTTAATAAGTGCCTGGCTGGCAGCAAGGGGCGCATTCATCCAGAGGTGGACCCCTCTGTCATTACCAAATTGCGCAAATTCTTTCACCCTTTTAATCAAAAATTTTACCAGATCACTGGGAGGACACTGAACTGGCCCTAAAGTAATAAATGATACAACACCATGTGTTGTACCTAGAGACACGCAATGTCTCCTCTAGACTGAAATATGCACTTTTCCTAGACACAACTATCCGAGTCATTTTTCCATCTACACTTGTACATATGCAGTGTGTGACCAAATATAATATCAGTTCTTTTTCTACTTTAAATTTACAAAAGCAAATTGCTGTCTGCATAGTTGCATCTTTTAAACTAGTTACTAAAAGAAGAAGTGGTGGTATTGGGGAAAGTGACTTCAGCTATTCTCAAAGAGTTAGTCTTCCTTTGAGTCAGAATTTGTCACCCGCCATTTGCATAAATTGAAGCCAAAATATTAACATGTGAAGTGTCCCAATGGCTGTGAGGCTGCAGGAAGCAGAGGGTTCAGTTACGCATTCTTTTATAAGGGAAAGCTGGCTTTTCAATTCAGACGCTGAATTGGTGCCGTGAAAACTGAAAATACTATTTTCTTATGATTTAAAAGAATGTCTTATCTCATAAAACTGACATTGTTCCAAAGTTCCTGTGGTGATTTTGCACTATTGTTTTCTTGTATGGACCATGGTGTCACTTGTAGCATGTCAATCATACTTTGGAAAGTCGAGTCCTTTACTTCCATGTTCTATGTCAACACAGAGAAATGTCATGTACATAATGTATACTACTGTAAATACTGGTTTCACACTAAGTAATTCTATTTTGTAAACTGAATATGGCTATTTAATTTATTGTGAAAATTAAATCTATTGTGGTATTTAAACATGGAATGGATTAAAATTACTCTATGTGCAATTTATTTTTTAACTTATTTTGTTTTATGTGCCCCGTTGGCTCTTCAAAGCAAAGCTGTTCCTGTGCAGATGGAGCGTGCCTGGGAACGTGCACTTGTCCGTTGGATTTCTGTGCCCTTGTGAAAATGTATTTATGAAGTGAGGTTGAGTACCTATTTTTTTTAAATCCCAACTATCAGGAAATCTAGTACAATAGCCACCTCAGAGAACACTAGTGCCGCTCTGCCACAACTTTGTAACAATTAACTGACTTGCAGATGCTGCTGTGCCAGGGGAAAGACAAGAACTACTTGAACATGATCGATGCAGAGAAGGATCACAATTATATTTGAACCTCTAATAAGAGTCAGACCGGTAACGAGACAGAGTGAAATAAGATTAGGGAACGTGTGTGGCCTCCATACTGAAAGCTGCTAATGCTTCAAAACTGAACACAAACTCTCAGAACTCGCTCTCTGAGATGAGAATACCGTCAGTATGCTCAGAAATGCTCAGATTGCATCGTGTTGTTATTACTAACATAAAAATATGGCTCGATTTTCATCCAGAGAAATTAATACTGAATTGTGTGCTTGCTAACATCAGATAGGCAGTACCTGCTTACTCAAAGTTCAGACAACCATGGACGGAGGTTGGAAAGAGGTACCCGAAAAGTAGATGGGTTTTTCCCAATCCTGATGGCTTCCCCACTGGAAGATATTTGAGAGTTCGGTTCAACGGCACACTGAGAGTGCCTAGAGAAATCAACAAACTACAATGGCTTCCTTTTTCATTGTAACAAGTGTTGATTTTCTCCATGAGTTGTTTTTCATGTCCAGTGATTTGATGGTGAACTTTTTCAAATAAACAGCCCTTTCCCCGCCAGTGTCAGTATGTATTGCTTCTCGAGCTACAGCCTTGGTCATCTTCGCTGTTCCGGTTAGCAGGGATGCTGCTCTCTTCGCATGGAACAAGGCTGAACCAGCACACACTGACAGGCCGGCTTCTTGCTCACTGTGCAATAACTCCGGAGTGAGAGGCTTGGGTCTAAATGTCAATCACATCTCCCTTATGCCATGAATGGAATCAAATATAAGGAATCTGTCATCAACGGTCAGCTAATCATCAGAGGAAACTCTTTGAATACTACATTCAAGGACATAATCACATACTATTATCATTAATTTTATTATAACTATTCCTAGAACACTCTACGGCTAATAAGTTTTAAACCGGTGACTGTCAAATTATGCCCCACTAGAATACTGATGTTTCAAAAACTCACCCTAGGTATTCCACCAGTAAAATTGAAAAATGGCAACTTTTTTTCAAGACTCAGAGAGAAATTTTAAAAACAATGAATAGGGATTTTGCAGTAATAATCTTTTATATTCCCAGTGTTTCTTTGAACTTTGCTACTGCTACCAACAGTGTATATCAGAGTTTATTCTAAGATTCCATTTGACATATGCTGACTTTTATAAATTGTCATTTTTAACTCAATAAGCCAGCATTTCTACATCACATTCGGGGGGGGGGGGTGCTTTAATTCCCAGCTATTCCACTTCCTAAATAAGTTTGAGAATTGTTTAAAGCTTGGAGCCTCTCCATAGAGATCTGGCCAGGGGAGATGGTTTTCAAGGCAGGTTTCATTTCACTGAAAAACAAACATAAATAAACAAAAACCATAGCCACTGCCGACTGAGCTACATGGAGAGAAAGAAAAGTCCCATAACTTAATAGCATACTTCCACTGGAGGTTTGAAACCTCCTTGTTTGGAAAAGTGTTTCCTGTTATCGTCAAACAGGGACCGAACCTCTGGAGAAATCTGCCACTCATTACAACAGCCCCACTAGGGTTCTCTTTAATAAGTTATTTCTTTTACATCATGAAAACTTTGTATTTCCTCCAGAGTCTTGGGGGCACCATATGGCTTTGTGAAACAGTTCTAGCTGCAAAGAGGAAAGAACTGTTGAAGCAATGGTGAAGTTTGTGCTGGGCCATAAAGCTGAAATGACACCACTTTGGAAGCCAAGGAATTTCAATTATACAAACAGAAACTAGAGCCCCAAGAGAGTGAGAGAGACTAGGGAACAGAGAAAAGAGAGACACACATACCCACAGACAAGTCATTCCAAATTCCAAGTCCATCACCTACTCACCTGAAATTACCTCATACCCTCAAATGATTAAAATATTAACTTTTCCGCCCTGACCAGTTTGGCTCAGCAGTTAGAGCATCGGCCCGTGGACCAATGAGTCGTGGGTTTGATTCCAGTCAAGGGCACATACCTCGGTTGCAGTTTGTCCCCAGCCCTGGTCAGGTCGTGGGGAAGGCAACCAGTTGATGTGGCTCTATCACATCGATGTTCCTCTCTGTCTCTCTCTCACTCTCTCACTCTATTTGATGATAAATAGAAATATATCCTTGGGTGAGGAATACACAAAAAGTAATAACTTTTCCTATTAATTGCCTTGTAGTGAAGGAAAATTCTAAGACATTAGGGTTTGATAAAACAAAGGCATGCAAACCCCTCATATTTACATCTGATCTTAGATCTGGTGCCTTTTGTCGATGGACCAACAAGAAGATCATTAATTGCCAGTCCAGACCCACCAAAGCTGATGGAGTGCATGAGAGCACTTCTTGGGGTTCTGCACCAAAGGCAAGGGTCCTACCAGAAGACAAGCTCAAGAACCTTTGGGAGATCACCTGGGACACCGGAGGGGCACTGCTGCTAAAGGAAGGTGGGAACTCAGGACAAGCGCACTCCATCGACAATAAGCTTTTGCTTTGTCCAAGCAGCTTGCTAAATAGAATTGCCTCCCCAAGCCTAATTTGAGAATTTTCCAAGGATGGAAAACTTCAAATGATCATAAACTGTGTCTTCGTGCTGAAGTTTTGGGTACTCTTTCTGTACACTCAGCAGCTATTCTCCACTTAGGAGAATAGTCTATAGTCTAAGCAAAAAAAGAAAGAAAGAAAATTTTGCTAAAAACATTTTCCCTAGAAATGACTTAATATAGCAAAATCTTAGCAATTTGGGTAACAAGGTAAAAATTTAGAATGTTTTAAAGGAAATTCATTGCTATTATTTCCTACTACGCAAAGTGCCAAACTATACTAACAATATATTTAAAAATATCTAATTGAACCTGTTTTACTAAATAAAAACCTCCAAATTGTTACTTTTTTCCAAATTGGTGTTACTCAAGTATTTCAATAAGTCTGTCCTTTTAAGGAGGGTATTCATGTCCCCTAGTAGCTATTTATCAATTTTTATAGCTAGTGCAAGGATGAAATTTGGGCTAAAATATGATCATTTGGTAAGGTTCTAATAAATGTTACCTTTCTACATATCTCATAAAAACAATTTCTTTATATTGTGCACTTCTAAAGATTTATTTCCAATTACCTTTGATTGTACCTTTGAGGAATGAGAGTGCCATTTGATAATGATTGGAGATGGACTGAGGAGTTGAAAGGCAGACTAAACTGATAGCAATAGGTAGTGCCTACGGAGGCCGCCTGATTGGTATTCCAAGAACAGGCATTTGCTATGTAATGGCAGCTCAGTTGAAAGCAATGCCCTTTCAGTCACATCAAGCAGGCAGCAGCTTGCCTGCCTGCTACCTTATCGGGCTACTTGCGTCACTTCTGAATTTGTGAACCATAAGCGTCTCTGGGTCTTGCGGAGCTGCTGGTAAAAAGGTTTATTGCTTCTAAACTTACACAATGTCCTCCTTTAAAAATAGTCCACCAAGAAAGTGAATCGCTCCCGGTAGACTGGGAGCATCACTTCAAAGGGCTGGTTTGTCCCTGGCTCACCTCCAACCTTTCTGATGCACACAACTCCGCTCGGCACTTCCTTTTCTTTAATGACACCAGAGAAGAAGCTTTAAGGCCAACTGAGAAACCGCCTGCTCCTTTAGTAAAGCCACTCCGAAACCCACCCAAAGGTTTGAACAGAGAGTATAAAAGAACCTGCAATTGCTGCATGTCACGTTATCAAACACTAGGTCCTGAAAATAAATTTAATACAAACACTTTCAAGGTAAGACCTAGCAACCCAAGATGACAATGTCACCACACCAAACAGAATAAACAGTGTAAATGGATGGGTCCAAGTTCAGAAGCCAGAGGAGGAAACAACAAACTCAGCCTGGAGGAGTCAGGAGGACGTGAGTGAGACGATGCTTGACCTGAGCACAAGATGATCACTGCACCTCACAAGGCAGACGAGCAGGGAAAATGCACTCCAGGATAAGGGAGACAGAACGAAGCATGAGGTGTGAAAGAGACTAGGAAGTCCACAAAGCTGGACAGCCGAGCACATGTGAGAGAAGATGAAAGCTAAGAATGGACGCCCTGCCAGAGCTTTGTCAGCCTTGGGCAAGCCCTACCCCTTGGCATACCCCACCACTCAGGATGAGGGGCCCTTGACTGCCTCCTTGGGTCTGTACCCAGCTGAACCTCAGAAGCTAAGGTTTTAAAAATGGAGATGAAATGATGAAATTATGAATCCTAAAGTTTTCTTTCAAACAAGTGGTGCCCAGAGAATTACAGTTTTCCTTCCCACACTTGTTTACTCTTGAGTTCTCTCACTTCTCTTCCTGGCTAGCAGCTTTGCTGAAGCTGATGGAATCCTTCAGATCGGGCTCCTTTTTTCACCAGGACTGAGGCAAATGTATCTTTTCAAAGCCAGCTCTCTGTATATGCAGACTGTGGGGAAGTTATACTGTCAGCTGGCCACTGAGCATCCTCCTATAGGTCCACTCGTCCTGAAACTGTATCAGAAGACACGGGAATGAGAAGAAACCAAACATGACATTCTCCCACAAGCAAGATATAATAATAGCACTTTCAAAAGTGTGCAAGGAATATATTTATTTCATTGAAAACATAGGATACGTAAGCTAAATTTTGAGGGGTGTAATGGACAAACATTTTCATTTTCATCTCCCTGGGCTTCCTATTAAATAAAGTGGGAGAATCAAAATAAGGGATGTTTAAGATCTTTCAATATGACATTGCACCAACGGATGAAAGTGATTATTGGAGCATTCCTTGTGCCATTAATCATCACAGAATCAGGAGTCTGAAGGTGAAGGAGTAAGGAGAGGTCAGACTCAATGTACTCTGCTGTTCTTGTGCAAAGAATCACTCCAAAAAGCTTTGTGCCTATCGTTTCGTGTGTAGGAGATATTCTTTGTCACCATTCTCGGGCAACTGATCTGCCCTTCCATTCAACCTTAGTCTCAGCTTTGGCTTCTAACTGTCCCGTTCTGAGTGAATTAACTTTTTCTGTGTAACAAACCACTCACAAACATCTCATTTAGCGCTGGATTCTGTTGCTCTTCTGGGCAGTTCTTCTGGTCTGGTCTGGCCAGACTTGGCTCCCGTCTGCTGGCCTCCCTCGTGCAGCTGTGGTTTCTGGCGGATCAGTCGGTGAGTACGTAATCTAAGGTGTCCTCTCTTAATGTTAAGTGGCTTATGCTGTTACTGGATTAGGGCCACTTGCTGATGCTGGGTGTTAGCTGTGTGACAACAGTGTCTGGGCCATGTGTGTCTCATCACTTAGTAGACTCACCTGGGCTTCTTCAGACGGTAGAGGGATGTAAAGAGTAGCAAGAGAGGACAAATACCAATGTCCAAGCACTTTTCTGCTTGCACTATGTCTATAATTCCTCGATGGCCAAAGTATGTCACATGGCTAAGCCCAGTGTCCATAAGAAAGGGGACTGCATAAAAGTGTGACTATAGCCCTAGCTGGTTTGGCTCAGCGGTTAGAGCTTTGGCCCTCGGACCAACAAGTCGTGGGTTTGATTCCAGTCAAGGGCACATATCTTGGTTGTGGTTAGGTCCCTGGTCTTGGTCAGGGT